ATGATGATGATGATGATGATGATGATGATGATGATGATGATGATGATGATGATGATGATGATGATGATGATGTGGATGATAAAGGTGATGTTGATGATAATGATGCTTCTGTCGCTGCTGCTGCTGCTGTTGATGCTGCTACTGCTGCTGCTGCTGATAATGATGATGATGCTATACTCCAGTACTTTGTCAAACGTTTGCAAATGTTCCGTTTGTTGGCCTGCATGGTGTAGATCATGGGCTTCTCGTCATTCCCGTACACTTCAGTGGACAAAGTGTCTGTGACACAAGCCAGAAGGTAAGGGTGGGGAGGGGGGATGTTGGGGGGATGATTAAGAGGATGATAAGTAAGTTATAATTTCAGTACACTCATTCACAATAATGACATTTTTAATTCAATGAAACAATAATATGCTGCCCTTAAGAATGAACCCCCCCCTTTTGCAAACAGCAGAGTGGGTAAATGCGGGACAGGTCATGAATACTTATCTTCCTACATCCCCCCCCCCCCCCAAAAAAAAAAAAAGGAAAAAAATCCCGCCTCCCGCCTCCCCTCAAAAAGAACAAAATCTCTCAAATACTTTTGCGTTCATTCCTGAACCTGGGTTCTATTGAAAATCCAAATTCCATCAGCCCTATCGTATCAGAGGTAGACGGTAACCAATGAGACACACCATTAAGACATTCCATACGAGAACATTTTTGTATTGCGTCATTTGGTCTCTGAGGTGTAGGTTTCCGAAAATTCAGCTACGCAAAATAATCCCCAAACCCATGTTAACATTAATTTTGTAACAATAAAACTGGATCTCCCCTTCCCCCCGCCACCCCACCCCACCCCCTTTACACCACAGATGCCTATATTCTGTGGAAAATGACATGACATATGACTTACCTTTTAGAAAGAGTTTTACGGCACTTGCAGCGCTAATAGGTCAAACAAGTGCCGAAGATAAGAGGTCTTACTTAACAATAACTTACCATAAAAAAGGAAGAGATAGGAAGAAAAAGAGGAAACCACAGACAAGAGCACCCTCCAACCACCCACAGACGTAACATAAAGGCCCCCACAAAGCACATCTCGTAGAATATTATGTATGTATAGGTGACCCACCTTTAGACAGCAGCAAGGACTCGTCGTCCGGGATAAAGCCGGCCTCTATGAGGCACGTGGAACACGCCGAGTGAGCTGTCTCTCCCACCAGATGACGGAACGCTTCCAGCTTGGTGCTCACCTAGAGGAAGGGGGGAGGGCACGGAAGGGAATTTAAAAAATTAAAAAACAGCAGGAGAGAAAGCAGCAGTTCCCCTAATGTTGCTCAGGCACAGTATAGGCATGGCATTGATAAATCAGCCCATTTACAATTCTACTGTGCATCATCATCCAGTGCCAGATCTGCGACAGACATCGGCGATCTTGGTTTTCCGTTCATTCCTTTGCTCGGATGCTCTAATAAAAGCAACGTTTCCCTGATCTTTCCCTGTTACCCATTTGTTTAGGTTCTACTGTGCATAAGAACTTGTTAATGTTACTATCCTGCATTTGGGAATATCCGCGAGTTGGGATTTCGAACAGAGACCACATAATATATATAAGTTTAGAGTGATGCCAACTGGGCTAACGGCTTGCTTACCTGTTACTCCTTTTTGGGTAAAGAAAAACACAAAGACACAATAATCGCCAATTAGTCCCAGTAAAAATAAGACAGACAGACAGAAACAACAGAGGGGCAGTGAAGAAGTAGAACCTACCAACAGCACCCTCCAACCAATCTCCCTCTCACTTACTCATTATCTTTCCCCCGTGCCCGCTGAACTCACCAAGTCGAGGTTGTCGTACAGACAGGTCTGGAACTTCTCCAGGCTGTGCGGCTTTTGCTCGTTGATGACAAACAGTTCCATCTCCTTGGTGGCCAGACACAGCTGGACAACGTTCAAGATGGCCGGCCTCAGCGTCTGGTGACGTCACAGAGAGATAATACACACCAAGTGTTACAGTCAGGAGCCATTCTCGCAGATTTCATATAGTCTAACTTTTCGCTTTTAAGCACAATAGAGGGCTATCCCGAAAAATGCTGTTTTGAGAAAATCGAAGGAAAAGCTTTGGGACCCTTGTTCAGTTTCTTTAAAAGACAAGGAGAGTTTTCTCTATAACCAAACAAATATGCACACCGATGAAACCAAACTTTTCCTATAGCTAGGGCAATGCCCACTTTTGGTGTAGGTCAAGATTTCTGGCAACCCTCGAATTCTGGGTTAGCCCGCTTGTCCTTAAAAACGACCAAGTTTGGTTTGGGTTGGGAAAAAGAATCACCAACGTGAAGAAACAAACAATCGTTGAATAACTGTCATATTTTGCATTTGAGGAAAGAAAAGTAAGCACAAGTTGAAATTGATCTGACCCCTCACTTTTATAAAACAAAACAAATATTTCTTAAAATTAATAATCTGTTTCAAAACACGAAAACCTTTATATACGCATATAGGTATATTATTCAATAGTATGTATAAAACAAAAACAACAGCAACAACAACAACAACATCAACAACAACAACATAAACAACGACAACAACAATAACAACAACATAAACAACATAAGCAACAACATAAACAACAACAACAACAATAACAACAACAACAACAACAACAA